TCGACTTTACCCGCACGCAGCCAGCACACGGTCACACGGGCAGGAGTGGGGAGGTTAGCTCCCGCCTGGGATGGCATGTGGGGACAGTTGAGAAGGTGCTTACTATGGCAGCCAGAGGGGTCCTCCCAGTTTTCCGTACAACGCCCATCGCTACCCTATACCGGGATGCTGGGCTCCCATCAGCAATGGTAGCTCTGGAGGAGGCCAAAATGCGATTCGCGACAAGGCTTCAGGTGGTGGATGAGAAGCACCCACTGGCTTCACGGATAGCACCTCCAATGATCACACGAGGAAGAGGGGCTGGAACCCGGCAGCGCTCAAAGACCAAGATCCAGCGGTTGGGGGCGCTGCTACCTGCAGTCAATAGACCCACACTTGCCATCCCACACTACTCAGAGGGATGCGGGACAGACCCCACAGAGGGTGTAGACAAAAAGAGTGCTGCTCAGGCATTCAAGAAATGGTGGAGAAGTCAACCCTCAACAGATCTATATGTTTTCTCAGATGGATCAGAACGGAGCCTTGACAACAGCAGGCAGGTGGGCTATGGCTTCATAGTCTATCAGGGAAATAAACAGCTGGCCAGCTTCTCAGCTGCGCTGAGCCCTATGTCACATGTCTTCGACGCTGAGGCAGTTGGTGCCTGCCGGGCATTAGAGTGCGCTGTGAAGCTCCTACCTTGTGTCACAGAGGACAGCAGCAACCCTCAGATCTGGCTCTGCCTCGACAACACCTCAGTCATCTGGGGCATACGGGGCAGTGCAGCAGCCTCCTCAAACTGGGCCTACAACCGCTGCCATGAGCTCCTCAGACAGCACAATGTCGGCCTGAAATGGGCTCCTGGGCATATGGGGATAGAGGGCAATGAGGAAGCAGACCGCTTGGCTAAGCGGGCAGTCTCATCCACTGCAGCCCCAGCCTATGGTCTCGAGGCCACACCCACAGTCAGTGGGGTCCGCACAGTGGCCAAGCAGCTCAGCCAAGAGGCAAGGCGAAAGTGGTGGAGTGGAGCCTGTGGCAGGCTCTCTGACTGGTACCGGGGCTGGAGTTTCAGCAGGCCGACTGTGGAATACCAAGTGAAGGCCCCTCCGGAGCTCACCATGCCACGGCATGCCCTTCACCGCTGGCTCGCACTCCGCTCCTCTCATGGGGACTTCTCCTGGTACCACAGGCGTTTCCAGCATGCAGATGCGAGGCTCACCTGTGTCTGTGGACACAACAAGAGCCCAGAACATTTGGTGCTCTGTCGACACTCACAGAGGCACTTTCTTCACTGGCCCAAGAGGCCAGCAGCACGGCCACACAACCGGGCGACAGCTGTTGCCTATCTAGGGTCTCTGACCCCTACAGACTTTGTAGAACTGCTGGACTGCACGCAGTTCTACACACGGTACTGCACAAGGTAACGCAGCCGGCTGGCTGCAAACCATCTGACAACCCCCGCAGCAGTTCCACGAGGCCGGCCTGCTGAGTACACCCACGGTAGCTAGTGCAACTGCCAGGGACATCACAGTCTATGCAGACAGTACAGATAGCACAACTAGGCTCATCTGTCTCAATTAGCTGTGGTGTAATCAGTACAGTCTACGTGTCTGACTCAGCTGATATGGTTTTGACTGCCGGCATTGTATCTACGCGTGCTCTGCTTTGTTTTCCTCTCGTTTGCCCTTGTCTCTATCGGCTCAAATGCTTCTTCTTCCTTCTTTTCTTTGCTCTCTCTGTCATTCTCTGCTCTTTTCCTGTCACAACCTTCTCCAGTGCTCTCTCCTTCATTATTTATCTTGTCTGTCTTTCTTCTTATGTTAGAAGCACAGACAGCTCTCTGATCAACTGAGAGAGGTATCCCTCTCTGCTCACTATAAAGCCTTCCATGCACGGCAGAGGCGGCGGTCCTCTCCAGGGAACCACACTATA